CAATACAATAGATATTCAAATTCATATACATGTGTGCATACTAATCCCCTGTGAATACAGGGACACATTATTAGCACTTGTAAGAAACTAAATGGATATATTTTAAATTTGACGAAATTACCATAAACACCTCACTGTTAACAGATATTAACAGATATGTTATCTAAACTTAAAATTACTTAAAAGTTTATGTGTAAATGAGAGCATATCATATATCTACTATTATAAAATTTGAAGATGTTTTTGTCGGAATTTTATTTCGTTATCGGTGTCTAGGTTGTACGTCGTCCGCATCCAGTTCAGCTCGAGCCTAAAATAACTACTCCATCCATCTACTTTTTATAGTCATATTTCACACAATGACCAAGGATAAGTAATTCTACTTATCATCCATTTAAACATGTTACTAGTTATTCATCGTAAACAATCGATTCATTAATATTTATATTTCTTGATGCCCATGTAACCAGTCTTATGTGAAAGAATGGAAAGTCACGCATTAAATCCGAGAAAGTCATTAAGATGATAGGTGGTTGGATTAAAATATGCATTTCAAAAGTAAATTTTTCAGATTTGGAAATATACCTATCAAAAGTAGATGGATGGAGTACTGTACACCTCCTCCCCAGCCTAATCCCACCCATCCCTCTCCTAGCCCAACACAACCCAATCGACCCGTACCATCCCGCGTGCATCCACTCGAAGTCATGTGCTCTTCCCTTGACTGTCTTTTTTTTTACTCTTTTCTCTTTTTCTTTTTCCCGATAATCCTAATTCTCTCCCTCTTCTTTCAATCTCTTCTCTTTTCCCCTCATTTTCTCTTTCGGTATTGGTATCTCTATCTCTTCTCCATTATTATAAAAATTAAAAATATTTTCGCTGATACTTTAGCATGTTATTCGTATTTGACTTGGTTTCTAAGTTTGTTCGCTTTTGAAAATATATAAGGAGTCATATAAGAAATCTTTTTTAAAAAAACTCACATGCAAACCTAGGATGGGAGTCTGATTCTTAATTGCTTTAGAATTCTCGTCAGGCGTACATGATATGACCATCATCTTAATAAGGGTTCCAAATTAGATATCAATACTATCAAAATAAAAATCCCATATATTTTTTAGACAAAAATTCTAACAATAATATATTAAAATAGCCTTCACTTATTGTAACGTATGGGTAGTTTTTTCTTGTCTATATTAAATTTAGAACTTTAACTTAGATGAATAGGTTTCACCACATGAAACCTAATGTAGCTCTCGTTACTTTGTGAATGTATGTAGCTAAAAAAATATTTGTGGACGAAAGTAATACACGAGTACTCCCTCCGTTTCACAATGTAAGTCATTCTAGTATTTTTCACATTCGTGTCTAGATTCATTAACATCAATACGAATGTGAGAAATGCTAGAATGACTTACATTGTGAAACGGAGGAAATAGTAAGTAGTAACTAGTAACATTCGGTAACTTGCTCCGGTGTTTCCCCCTCTCGTTTTCACCCCTGCCCCTATTCACTTGAACACCATAGTAACAATGATCATGGCTAATCTCCATCTAAGCACTGTTGCAGGCATGGCCACGTGGTGTGTCGTCGATGTAGAAACGTGCTAGTAAAAAAGGCCACTACTATTTTTGCAGGCTCGCAGCATGAAACATGAGACGAGTAGACGACCATACCGGCATACTGGTAGATATAGGGGGTGTTTGGGAGAGAGGGGCTAAACTTTAGCCCCTCTCTCAAAACCATAAGTCCCTCTCCTAGAGACTTATGGTTTTGAGAGAGGGGCTAAAGTTTAGCCCCTCTCTCCCAAACACCCCCATAGTGGCACACCCCCTATCTATCTAGTCGGGCCAACGGCCAACGCCTCACCTGACGGGTTTGTTCGTTCTGATCTCTGACAGGCACCACACCAAACGCATCTCCGCCGTCGATCTCCACCCGTGGGGCCCACCCGCGGAGACACCCCCGGGCCCACCTTGTCTGCGCCTAACCCGGTGTATAATAGAGTAGTAGGATAATGCAAGCGGGCTGGGCCCCACACGGCTCCGCCGCTAATTCGCAACGGCCTCAAAATAATCCTAACCCCCTTTCGCTAACACACACCCGCTTTAACTCCGTGACAGCGAGACGGGGTTAACCGCGGCCGACCACGTCTTTTGATTACCCATCGCCTCCATGCAAACGATGATAATTACTACTCCTTCTGTTAAATTGGAGTAATATGAGAAATTTTGAGTTTTTGTTTGCACTGTTTGATCACTTATCTTATTCAAAAACATTTATGCAAATATAAAAAAATAAAAAATTATGCTTAAAATACTTTGGATAATAAAGTAAGTCAATAAATAATAAATAATAATTCTAAATTTTCTTAAATAAAACGAGTGGTCAAACAGTGTAAGAATTATTATGAGACGTGGTAGTAGTACCTCTTACGTGTGTGTAAGAATTAATAAAACGTCGCTGTCAACGTTGCTCTAAACCAGCACACACGTACTACGTAGGTAACTCACCGCCTCCCTGCTCGCGAAGTAACCAGTAAACAATTCGGTGATGACATTTGAATCGTAAATCTTCTTTTTTTTTGGTGGGGGTGGGGGGGGGGGGTGAAGTTGACACGGCCTAATCACCAAATCTTCATTTATTTTATCCGCTGGGAATGCGTTTGACTGAACTCTCTCGGGACAGGAGTGCACGAGACTTCGGTGGTGTTTGGATCCAGAGATTTAACTTTAGTCCCTGTCTTTATACACTAATTTAGAGTATTAAATATAGACTACTTACAAAACTAATTATATAAATGAAAGCTAATTCACGAGACAAATTTTTTAAGCCTAATTAATCCATAATTAGAGAATGTTTACTGTAGCATCATATAGGCTAATCATAGATTAGTTAGGCTCAATAGATTCGTCTCGCGAATTAGTCCAAGATTATGGATGGGTTTTATTAATAGTATACGTTTAATATTTATAATTAATATTCAAACATCCGATGTGATAGGGACTTAAAAGTTTTAATCCCATCTAAACAGGCCCTTCGTTTGCATGCGGCGGCAGAATCACTCGAAGGTTCGCCGGTTATACCGACTTGTAGTTCGTTCGGTAGGGGTGGGTATATATGTGTATATTTGATACGCTGAGTCGCTGACATCATATGAGTAGTACTCCGTGGCTTTCAGGTTATAAGATGTTTTAATTTTAATCAAAGTTAAACAGCTTTAAGTTTAACTAGGTTTAGGGCCCCTTTGAATTAAAGGATTTATGTAGGAATTTCATAGGATTCAAATCCTATAGGAAATTTTTCTATTTGGCCCTTTGATTCAAAGGATTGAAACTTTCCAAATCCTATGAAATTCCTATGGAATGGCACATTGCATGTGGATTTTGAAGAAAATTTAGCAAGAGCTCCAACCTCTTGGAAAATTTCCTTTGAGTCTATCTTTCTCATCCGATTCCTGCGTTTTTCCTGCGCTCCAATCAAACGACCATTCCTGTGTTTTTCCTGTGTTTTGCAATCCTCTGTTTTACACTTCAATTCCTATCAGAATCCTGCGTTTTTTCTATTCCTCCGTTTTTTCTACCCTGCGATTCAAAGGGGCCCTTATAGGTAAATATAGTAATATTTATATTACCAAATTAGTTTTATTAAATTAATAATTAAATATATTTTTATAATAAATTTATCTTTGTAAAAAATATTATTTTTTATAAACTTAGCCAAACTTAGAGCAATTTAATTTTAACTAAAGTCAAAACATCTTATAACCTGAAACGGAGACATCTTATGACCTGAAACGGAGTACCATTTATGTCGAAGCCAATGATGTTATATTCATTTAACCATATATTTTGTGTAAGGTCATTGCGGCCGCCTGATAACAATCCGGCCCAGGTGGGGTCGGCCGAGGCCCAATAACTTAAGGTTGTCCGGACCCCAACAGTTCTTTAGCACACCCACTCAGGGAAAGGCCCAATCTCCCTAAAAGACTAGTCCGGTAGGGGAAGGGTGGCTCTCCTTTTTAAGGTGGCTTCCTCCTTCTAAGCTAAGTAAGGTGGGATTAGCTAAGCAAGGTGGGATTATTCAGAGGCTCACACGGTCGCCGCCCGACTTTAGCGTCTCTGCCAGCGGATAATAGTGGAGGATGTCCTCATCACCGCCTGACCCAAACCACTATAGCATGTAGCAATTGGTTTGAGGCTGGTTCTTTTCCTCAATAAATTATAGATTATCGTAGACACGTTTTACAAGTTTAGAAACATGGTATTTTAAAAACTTTCTATATATAAACTGTTTAGAATAATATTTTAGAACAACTTATCTATTTTTTCACAATTAATTCATTCGTTTGTATAGTCGATTATCATCACAAAATTAGATAATCTATCGTATGTCCCGCCCCTAAATGGAGTATTATATTAATTAATCTATTTAGAACATCAATCTAGTCCATTAAAAAACAACTAATCCCTCCGTCTCGATAAAAAGTAACTTAGCGTCCTAATAAAAATCAACATAGATTGATTTCCTGATTTTTATTGGGACGGAGTGAGTAATATTTATCGATCCATTTTAAAATATTTTACGGCGACGCATGATCGTACAGTGGAAGTACGTAACTAAACATGTAGGAAGAGAGAAGGCTAGAACCTTCACGCTCTTTGCCCTAAAAAATGGGTGACGTATCCAATCCAAACCTGTACTACTAATCAAAGGGAAAAAATAATCATACGGCGCTTGTTAATGTTAAAACTATATGATTGTGTGAGTCAGCGCACTTTGCACACTCTAACCTCTAAACCTTACCCCCCAAAAATAAACACACACACACAGACCCCTCCAAAATCAGAAAGCGAGACGAAGCCGCCCAAAAGGCACACGAAATGGGGATCGAAACGGAAATACCCAAACTGCCCCTCCAATGGCGGGCACTGGCTCAGCGACACTGACACGCCCGGGCCCACCTCCCCCTCTTCTCCCGCCTATTTAACCAAGCTAGGCATCCGATCCTACTCACCACTCACCACCACAGCTCAGCTCGGAGAAGCGAAGAGGAGGAAGAAGAGCAAGACGCCGATGGTTACGCGTGTGTGCTAGTGGCTGAGCACTAGCGGCGGCGGCGGCGGCGACGGCGACGACGACCTCACCCACGGCGGCGACACATGTTGAGTGAACAAACGGCGGCTAGTGGTAGCAGCAGCAGCAGCCGCGGCGCCGACGACCGGGAGATTGTCATCAGCACCGGCCGGGAGATCGTCGTCAGAAGCAGCGGGGGTGAGGAGAGGGAGGAGGAGGTGGTGGTGGAGGAGGAGCTCGAGGAGCCGGAGTTCAGGGACATCCACGCGCTGAGCCCGCCGCCGACGCCGACGCCGAGCCAGCCGTCGTCGTCGTACCACCGGCGGAGGAGGGAGTCGTGGGAGTCCGCGGCGGGGAGCAGGCACACGTCGATCCGCTCCGTGGGGAGCGACACCGCCCCAAGTGAGCTCTTCCCTACTATGAGCAGGGAGTTCTCGGCCATGGTCGCCGCAGCAGCCAACGCCAACGCCGCCGCCGCCGCAGCCGCGAACGGCGGCGACTCCAGCCGCGCCGGGGTGGACGACGCGCTGGGGAGGATCGGGGAGGATGAGCTCGAGGAGACGAACCCGCTCGCCATCGTCCCGGACAGCAACCCCATCCCGTCCCCTCGCCGCGCCCACCTCGCGCTCCCCGCCCCCGGCGACGTGTCGTCGGCGGGCGGCGGCCACGGCGACGAGGTGTCGGTGGGGCAGGTGAAGAAGGAGGAGGTGGAGTCCAAGATCGCCGCGTGGCAGATCGCCGAGGTCGCCAAGGTCAACAACCGCTTCAAGCGCGAGGAGGTCGTCATCAATGGCTGGGAGGGCGACCAGGTCGAGAAGGCCAACGCCTGGCTCAAGAAGTACGAGGTAAAACAAGAAACCAAAACGAAATCCATCATCTAATCGCCATTGATTTCTACCAATCGAGCTCTGGATTCTGATGGAATTGGGGGTGTGTTGCAGAGGAAGCTGGAGGAGAAGAGGGCCAAGGCGATGGAGAAGGCGCAGAACGAGGTGGCGAAGGCGCGGCGGAAGGCGGAGGAGAAGCGGGCGTCGGCGGAGGCGAAGAGGGGCACCAAGGTGGCGCGCGTGCTGGAGCTCGCCAACTTCATGAGGGCCGTGGGGAGGGCGCCATCCAAGCGCTCCTTCTTCTGAGCGACCGCGCCACCCTCTTCCCCTCCTCCTCCTCCTCTCTGCTTTGCTCGCCGCCGTCGCCGTCGTCGTCGTCGCCGGCGCCGGCGGCTGATCGTTCACCGCTTCGCTTCACACGCAGGGATCAGTGCTGTGATGTGGTTGCTGTGTGGAACTCTCGTTTTAGTGTTGTATCCACATGTATGATGTACTGTCATCATATCCTCTCTTTTTTTTCTTTTTTTCTTGTTCTCTTTACTTTCTTGTGCTTGATAAGGGTATTGCAAAGTTGGGAGGGACAGACAGAACAAGTAAATAGCATAAGTTGGATGGTGCTCTGCCCCTTATAGCTTATGGTGAGGGGGACAAGAGCTGCCTGTAATTTGTTTTTTGTCATCATCAAGGATTGTGTATGTCAATATGAACAAGATATGGAGCTACCTGTTTTGTGTAATTGCTTGACCACCATTTCAGTGGCTTCCTTCACTTCATTCTATGTAGGAGTACGAGTGAAGTTTCTCTGCAGTCCGGCACCTTGTCCTGCTTCTTTTATGGCTTCATAAGTGCTTAACAATATTTTGACAAAAGGACATGAATGCACCATTTAGGAAGAGGACTTGAGCATAGAGTACTGAACCCTACCGCCTTGATTCCGGCATGTGACCCACCGGTTTGGCGGTTTCACTTTGAATAATTGAGTTTGAGCATTAGAACGTGTGTTGATCTTTCATATTGTCCTGACGAGTTTACTGCGTAGCTGTAAATAACACATCGAGGACAAAGTGCCTGAATTGAGGATTGAGTTGTTTGTCAAATGTCACATCAGCTCGCTCTCACACTAACAAAGGTGAGACTTCGAGAGGAACTGCAGTTATTAAACAGTACTATTATGGTACCAGTATATCTGAAAGTGCCATTTGCAATCCAGTCGACAGTTGGATTATCCCATCATCTGCATCTCTGCTTTTTTAAAAAAAAAACTGATCTCTGGATTTTTATAGCAGTTTTTAATATGGAGTATTCGAGTTTTTTTTTAACTTAGTTAAACTGAAGCCGTATTCAGATAACTTAGTTAAACTGAAGCCGTATTCAGATTCCATTGTGCGGTAAGATTAAGATGTTTCTTCTTACTAAAATATTCCGTTTAAATTGGGCACAGTGAAGAGAGTGATGAGATTTATGCGCATGTTTGGTTTGTAATAAAAATAAACCTTACCAAATTTTAATATGTTAAAGATGTGATGGTGACATCTGGTTCGAGGCCTTATCAGATTTTGATGTAGAATGCAAAGTTCTATAATTATCCAAATTTGATAAGGTTATTGATGATGGTTGATAAACGAGAGATTTGTAAGGCCAGCGTTGGGTCTGGGCCGAGTAATTAAGAGTCGAATATGCCGCATGAGAAGAGCGACGGACGAAAGGGCAGAAATGCCAAAATAATCTTAACAAGTTTTGCTTTACTTGGTAAGGTAACGATAGGGATGGTGATGTTTGGTTTGAGGTCTTACCAGATTTAGTGTAAGGTTCCAAAAATTATCAAATTTTGGTAGCGCTATGATAGTTGGAGCTGTTTCATTGTTCAATTTGTTATCGTACCAAAGTTTGATAATACCAATGTTTTTGATAAGGGTGTTTTCCGACAAACAGCACCCCCCTACATTTTCTTGTGGCTATATTTCTGTTTAGATTGGATATGGTCACACAGTGAAAGTGCTCCTAGACAAGTGATGGTGTGATCGCGGTGCATTGACTCTATTCCAAAGTCCGTATACGCACAGATTCTTGTGGGAAAATCTCGCACAGTATCATCCAATAAGAAAGCGACCAATCCTAATAAGTTTGGATCCGACCATACCTGAAATTTCTGTACGTCCGCGCCTTTTCAGTTGAGCCGCAAATTGATACGAATCCATGCTTTCCTTGAACTTGGACGCCATGGCGAAGGCTGGCCGGCTGCAGTGTTAATGCTGTAGCTGTACCGTGTGGGACGACGATTTCACCTGGCCCATGGCATGAGGAATTAAGGATTAGTCCATGTGGTGCAGACCGCTGGGGCGCCAAGCAAGCTCACATGTGTACATTATGTAGCCCTGTTCTTGTGTTTCATCACGTAACATGGCGTGTTCCAGAAACTGACCTGCTAGAAATAAGTGGCTGCATGAATGCATGATTAGAGGGGAAAAAAAGAAAGAAAGATCCTAACAGTTACAGTGGATCACAAGGATCAGAGAAGGTATGAAACAATCGAGTAAATCGTGCAATCCAACTCTACGGTGAACATTAGACATACCTGGTTGCATGATTAGAGAAAGAAAGAAAGAAATTTCCTAGCAGTTACAGTGGATCAGAGAAGGTATGAATGAAACAGTTGCAGTAAATCGGGCAATCCAACTCTACGGTGGTGAACATAATTTACCTCATAATAAGTCATACCTGGTTTGGAATGATGAGTCGGTCTCTGGTAGTTCAGGATATTCGTCAACCACGTGAAAAGACGAAGTCACAAGATGGTAACTGTATAGAGTGGAAATCTGGGCGCTTTTCAGCCTTTTCTTGTGATGCTTACTTGCTGACTGCTTAAGGTTGAATGGCCAGCAGTGAAACTGTGAAAGGACAGGTGATAAGTGTACACAGGTAATACCAAAAGGTAAATTGTTTACTCACAGTAAGTCTTATATGTACAGAAAACCGCATGGGCGTGGAAGCAAACGTTGATATATGTACAGTAAAACCAACAAAAAAAGTAGTGCAGCTGAGGCTTTTTGAGTATGTTCGACTTATTTCTAACAAGTGGGACAATGTTGATTGAACCTATATAAGGCTGTCAGGATACTCTCCATTGCCCTCTCCAGCGAATGTCCCTGAAGGTTTTGATTGATCATTTAGACATGCATGATGCATGTCGCTTAGGACAGAAGCATACGACTCTGGAGGAATTGGCGGATCATCCATATCAAGCAAAGACTCATCATCAACCAGCTCGTTCTTGGAAGAAGCATATGCATCCAATGGTGTTGGCAGATCAACTACATCAATTATAGGTTCATCAGTGCGAGGAGCTTCATCATCTGAAGACGAGAATGTACTAAACAACCTAGCTGAACTTAAGCCAGCATCATTGTCAGTGTCCTTCGCATCAGAAATTTCCGCTTCCGAATCAGATGATTCAGCAAGTAGGACTTCGAGAGAAGGGCTGCTCTTACTTGTTTTCTTTGCCACGAAAGCCATGCCTAAAACATCATCATTGTACTCGTAAAGCAAGTCACACACCTTTTGCAGCTCTTCGCCTGCAGTTGGGTTTACAGTAGAACTACCTGTAAAAGGATCATCAACACAATTTCCAGCTGTGACACCACCTGAGCCGACAGCTTCTCTAGCAGGTTCTGCACTAAATGATTCCATACTACACAAATCTGACAAGGAGTGCTCTACCTCTGATTTTGTAAAGCTATCATTGAGGCTTGCCTCCAAGCCGCTGCTCTCAATGCATCTTTTCTTGGAATCAGTAAAGGCTCTAAGACAACAAGAGTTCATCCCACCAGAAACAGAAAACTTAGCACTGTCATCCTCATTAACCTCTAGAGCTTTCTGCAGCAGAAGTTGATTGATATCCTTTATATTCTTAGCAGATTCCATCGATGTTCTCTTGAAGGTATGCATTTCAGCACCACCATTACTAGATAATGCTTCAGAAATCACATTCTTACTAAAGTTAGCATTTCTTGCCACAAGAAACTCTGCCAAGGACAAGGTAGATCTGTTGCCATTCAACTGTTGTCCATCATTAATAGATTCCAAGACAGTAGGAAGCTGAGAAGGAGCGATGATGTGCTCAGTGTTTGCAATGGATTGCATCATGTATGAACTAGAGCCATTATTCTTTAGATTTGCTTGGCTTCCAACATCTTTAGATTCCTCAACTGTGTGAAGCTGTGGAACACACAAGGGTTCTGTGCTTTCAGCAAATGCCATCATGTTCAAATCGAGAACATTATTCAGATCGTTTACCTCAGCCTTCAAGTTTGCCTTAGAGATATAAGTTTGTGGAACTGCATCTGCTTCCTCACAAGATATGAAGGTATTGACCTTATTTGCATCAACGAATGTACCAGATAATTGGCCAGCCGAGCCATCATTAGTGGATGTCTCATCAACTTGTTCAGAAGAAAATGGGCAGGTAGAAGAATCAGTAGTATTTTCAGCAGTTGAATTACTGGCAGGGCAAGCAGCAGATTGCGAAGATGGTGTTTTCTTGGTTGAACCAAGAAGTGCCTCCAAGGCTGATGCTAGAGCACCATCGACAGATACATGAGATTTGCTTTTGAAGCTGTCAACAGTGCTTTCACTCAAAGCAGCATCAGATTTTGTATGACCATCATCATGATCACCAACTTCTGTTTCTTTCTCTTCCTCCAATTCATCATCTGAATCATTTGGAAATTCTGGAACCTTGACAACTAAACCTGGGGAAGTTTTAGGTTCTTTCTCAGAAGACAGAGCAAAATCAACTGGTGAGAAAGACCCATCATGAAGCTTCTCACAAGCAAACTCAGATTCAGAAACAAAATCAGGAGCCTTAACAAGAAGCCTTGGCACCATGCTCGGTCCACGTAAGGTAACTGCATTTTCATTGGACTTATCGCAACTGAAGGATTCTTCTAAAGAAAACTCTGGTGCTCTGACAACCAGACCTGGCTGCCTGTTGGTTGTGGAAGCAGAATTTTCAGCCTTACCATCATTATCTGTTTTATCCTGTGGATTAATCATATCAGATAAACCATCTGGGGCTGTCATTCTTGCAGAAGAAGCTTGTAAAGTCTTAATCTCCATAGAGAACACATCAAACTGTTGTTCCAATCGCTGAAGCCTTGACTCGATGCTACAGATAGGCCTCATCATACCATCGTCAAACCTGGAGCAGTATAGTTCCATCTTCTCCATCTTAGAGAGAAGAGTATCCAGCTTTCCCTCAATGCGACTGTAAGGATTTGGATTTTCATCCATGAGAGGAGTAACAGGCTGATCTGTATTTGACACACTCTGGTTCTTTGTCAAAGGAGCTTGTGTATTTTCTGTTGTTTGTATAGGCAATAGAATAGACTTGGAATCCTTTAGCTCATAATGGTTGCCTTTTTCATAAGTTATTGTATCGCCATCTATAGCATTTAGTTTGCTTTCCATCCCTGCTGACTTGAAATTTAAATCATCTGTGCTACACGGCTCTGCATCTCGCACTACATTTTCACATGGACTATTATTCACTGCCATTGCACAACCTTGGGAAAGCTGAGTCCTTGAGGCATCAGAAAAATATTTATTGTCCGTTTTCTGGTTCCTTGATTTGGACATTTGCATGAGGCTAGGGACAAGCATAGCCAACAAAGAACTACCTCCCATGTTTCCAGGACGTGTTTCTGATTCATCATTGGTTGGCTCAACAGGATCAGCAAATATGTAAATCTCCTCGATGTGCACTGATGTTTTTGACTGAAGTGAAAGGAGGCGAACAGTTAGAGATACACATGGGCTTGCATCAGTTATCTCAGCAGTTGCTTCATAGTGTGCCTGCATTCCACATAGCGAAACAAAGTTACAGAAAAATTTTAGAAGCTAATATCACAATAGGAGCACTCCCAGCAGAAGTTTATGGTTGAGTATTTAACAATCTTTCATGATACAAACCAAGAAATAAGGCTTTACCAGAGTGGTTTCCTGTTTGACTCCAATTGCATTAGGTTCTTGAGATTTAGATCTGTTCTTTTCCACATGTAACTCTGGGATTTTGACATCAACCCAGCTATCTTCATCAATACTACTGCTTACGCTTTTGGTTTCATGCTCATGCTTTTCACTAGTTGAGGCATCACTACTCCATTGGGGCATACTTTCTTCAGCAGAGGGGAGTGGCTCTTTAACTGCAGGTCCACAACGCACAGTGCATAGATAATCCTTAGAGCTATCCTTGGGGTCAGTTGTATAGTATATTTCATAAATCCGAGCTGTGCTTCGCACATACACCCTGTGAATCTCATACTTTCCCCTGAAATGAACTGATGAACAGCTGTGAATCAGATATATGCATACTGAAATGGAAAAATAGCTTAGATTTTCATCATGCTAGGTACTGTGCTGTATATGCTATGAGATGTGAGACACTGACTTGAAATTTATACAATGAATCAATGAAAAGAAAATCGACTCTAAATTCGGCACGATGGGCTTTGTAGTTTATACAGAATTCCATGTAAAGGTTTCAACTTTCAATGGAATACTGCCAGTTCCTTTTACTTTCATAAAAGAAATACTAGTAGTAGTTTGATGAGGATGACGAAACTATAGTACAGATACTTTCCTAATATTAGCAACTCTACAATTTCTGCAAGTATACAGTGCTTAGAGCTTTCTGTGGTAATATCACCCAATCCTCATCTTCCAAAAAGAAATGCCACCAATTCAATAAATTGTTTGAATTCCTAATATCAGGTAGCTCCAATTTCTGCAAATTGACAGTACAAAGGAATTGAACAAATACATCATTGAGACTTCAGTATGATCGATGATGCTTGGACTGTTCACAGTGCAACAGCTTCACTACAAGACTAGGTATCTACACTTACCGCTTACCACTGATGGAAAAATCAAATCTAAAGTAGTAAAAACTTAGCCAGATATTTTCCTAAATAGTAACGCAAACTATCAGTTATCAATTAAGAATGCTCTGGTCATGGAAGCATAAGAAGCTTAAGTTTAAGAGTATCACGCAAACAATAACCAGTAGACAGTAGCAAATGAATCCGTTATATGACATACTAACCTGTCATAATTTTTATCTTAAGGTATTAGTCGAAAGTCGAAACGATTCCTCAAGTTACGAAAGGATCTCTAAAACAGATACCTCCAATCCATGGACTCTACGCATTAGAACATTTTAACGATAACTATGAATGATTCACGCACTAGAACTCGAACAGCGATAACCACTTCGGTTGATTCTACCAGCCTACTAGGTTCGGTTGGTTCTACCAGCCTACTAGGGTTTATCCGACCATAAGCTAGACTAGATGCTGCAAAACTAAAATTCACAACAGTGAGTGCACCTGCATCCGATCGGACCAACGCAAACACCGCGATCCCGCGGCAAACTCGCAAAATTCTGACAAGCCCAGAGAGCTAAGCTACCCCCCAAGTCAAAAACGACGACTCACCAGTGACCTCGCAGGGAGGAGCGTCGCCGTCGCCATCAGGGGAAGGGCGTTCAAGGAAGACGGCGGAGGGGACGGCCTCCGCGTCGTCGGCGGACGTCTCGAACGAGACGGCGTCCTCCACGGCCGCGCCGCCAGCCGGAGCCCAGGTGGCGGACACCGTCCATGGCCGCCCCGGCTCGGATCCCGACGCCTCCATCGCCCCGCTTCCACGCGCGTGGGTAGACCGTGAGCCGGCGGCGGCGGCGGTGGTGTGCTCGTCGGCGTTCTCCGCTCGCTTCGCTTCCGGATTCCGTCGAGTGCTTCGCTACACACGACGAATCTGATGGCCGTGGCCGGTGGGGAACACGAGATCCCATCTTATGGGCCCCCACGCCGACCGCTAAAACTGGGCCCATTTTGGGCTAAGCCCATCGTGAGATAATAATGGGCCTTATTGGGCTTAGATCCAGCCCAGTTATTATCTCGCTAAAATCGAAAAGAAATCCTTCAGTACGTTATCCACATCGCGGCTGTGCGCGGCGGCGAGGATGCATCTCCGCTTCGTCCCGTTCCCGGCGATCGCCGTCGGCGGAGCGAGCTTGAGATTCCTCGCCGATAACACACGTGCAGTGGGCGGAAGCGGGAGGAGGCGGTGCTCCGACGTGGTCGCCTTCTCGTCGTCGGAGAAGGGGCCGGGGCCGGGGTCGGGGGAGGAGCGCGAGCCGCGGGCTGAGGAGGCGCTGCGGCGGCTGGCGGAGCTCGACTCGCAGCTGGAGGGGCTTTCCGAGCCCAGGGAACGGCCGCCGGCGCCGCCTCTTCCACCGGGTACGTCCCGTTGGGCTTTTGCCTACCTCGTCCCTCCTCTCATGGGCTCATGGCAAATTGCTTTTCCAGTTTACATGTGCGCTGTGTCCATTTCATCAACAATTCACTATGTTCATCAGGGTCAGTAATTGATATCAACTGAAAACTTTTAGTGGTAAACTTACACTAGTTTGTGCGTGCAAGCATCTTCGTTTTCTCAAGCTCGTTAACCCAAAAAATCTAATGAGATTATGATTGATTAAGTAGTCAAAATTATATGTATAGTGTTCTACTTTTACATATACTATTGATCAAAGTTTTAAGATGTTGTCCATAGTTATCCTGCAATGACCTATATATTTGGAGATGGAATATATGTTTAAAATAGAAGAGATGGATCATTCAATCGGCTGAAACTGTTCGTGGAGACCTCAATGCATTATGCAACATACTAGGCTCACTCATACTAACTTTGTCAATGATCAGATCAAGAGCTTTAAAAGGTCGGCAGGACAGATCTCTCAGCAACAAATATAAATATTTTTTATAAAGTGTTTGGTGGAGATGGATCAGTCCTCTGTACTGAAACTACTCAATTAATGAAACCTCTGACATTATGCAAGTATGCAACGTTTATAGGGGCCTCACCCATGACTTGGACAAATGCTTCATTGCTTCTGTATGCAGTAGCACAACATGCCATATTGTCATTTATGAAGAACCTAAGGACAACAGCAACAGTTCAGTGGGGATGAAGCCATCCAAAAGTGGCAGACAGAGCTTTGAAACACAGTAATAATGTTTGCATCTTGAGTCTCTATTGCTCTGAAAACCCATCCAGTTGTCTTTAGGAGAGCTACCACGTTGCATCAGCATCATGGTTTATTGATCAGTTGTTCTTAACAATGTTAACATCACAGTGAGATGGACTCCGATCTAACTGTGATTTGCTTGAAACAGACCCTTACATGGACCGAGATATGATAACTGGGCGGGGATCAAAAGATGAACTTCCTGAATTTTCTCCAACGTATGTAACATTCTCAACACTTGCACTTGTTATCCTCACGATATTCACCAACGTTGTGTTCAATCTTTACATCAAACCTTCCGTGGACGGCGTCGATCAGCCTGTAAGAATTGAGAGGGTGCCTATGGTTAATCCAGCAGACCAGCAATTCAAGTAGCTTCTAGACTAGGCATATAAATTTGTTATAGCAAGAAGTGATATGATATGCTAGTAAAATAGATCATGATTCATGTGTATTCAACCATATCTTCTTTTTGTATTTAGCACCCATACGTTCTAAATGAATCATTTTGTTGGCTCTGGGAATTCAATAATAGTAGGACGTTTTGCACATGCCTGTATGGTCTTTTGACGCTATCTCCTGGAAGGTTATGGCTGTATGGGACTTGCAGGTGTATCCAGTTTCTGCCTAGCTTTTAGCAGAAAGGGTGAAAATTTCTCCTCTTTTTTTATCAAAATACATTTTGGTCAGAGACTTGGGCATCTTGGTGATCAAACACGGCACATGTAAGAAAATTGAACATTGGCAACCCTGGACCACACATCAAATACAGCAGATGTACAGATGCATATATCAGGAGATGATGATAAGGTCGGCTGTAAATGCACTCTACTTTCCCTCTGAAGGATAGGAATTCTGAAGTGCCACTGTATGCAGTAAACATCCTGGGTGTCATAAACGCAGAGCTTGAATGCGCTGTCGACAATGGCCGTGTGAGAGGGGAGAAGAGAAGCAGCACAGAGCTGCTCTGGTGTGGTAGCGGTCCAGAGCTCTACGATCTTCTACTGTGTCGCTAATGGAGTACTGTACTGGTTTAGCCTTTTCAGCTTGTCTGTTTATTTGGCTCTTCTGTTTTTTTTTTCGCTTTCTTTTTCTCGCCGCTTTGGATTATCTCGTTCAGATCTGTAAAGTTAGCGTTCTCTATCTCTCTCTCTTTTGAAGTTCCCGTAAACGTCGACACGTCGTCCAGCTTTATCATTCGCTTTCGTTTTCCCCTGAGCAGGATTCTGATTTCTGAGTCGTAGTTATAGTGCATTTTGGTTTGTGTCCTGTTTCGTCAGGGTGATAAACAAGGAACCCTGATTTAGCACATGTGGTACACGGACAGGTTGATCGATCTTTGACCCGACGTCAAACCCCACCCATGTATTTCCCGTCTTTACTTGGTCTTTTTATGCTAGATCATTAATTCCCCGTTGCTTATTCTGTTCGCATGTGGATCGTATCCCTTTTTTAAGAGCGAGTCTCGTACATAAAGAGATTAGTTTATCTGAGCGAAGAACATGCTCTCAGCCTTTTTTTTCTCTCCTCGATGCGTGCAGAGCTGCAGTCCAACAACCATACACCTCATGTGCCGTGACCCGAGCGAGTGGCTCGTTCATACCACCACAAAATATCATCTCCTACATAGCCTTGCCGAATCGAGCCTAGGTTAGTCGTAGCAGCAGCATGCCAGTATTGTAGAAGTATTTCTCATCGAAGCGCTGACGCGGCGATGAGAAGAAACGAACGATCATTTCGCGTTTCGCCGATGGGAACGGCACTTCAGGCGTGCTACGCAGATCTTGGGCAGCGTCCACGTCCTCCCCCAATTCATTTCCGCCCCCCAAGAAACCCGCACCGCGCGTCACGTCTCTCCTCTCCCCGCCGCGGCATGTGCGTCTCCCCAGATCCGCGCATGCGCATCCCATCCGCGACAAGTGCCCATGCCTCCGCCGCGACACCGGCACACCGCGCCCCGCCCGCCCGCGACCGCGAGGGAGCGCTCGTCGGTAGCCGGCAACCTGCCGGTGCGCGTGGCTTGCGTGCGGCTCGTCAAAACCGCGCGTGGGGGATATGCATGGGCCGCGGCCGGTTGCGGTGCCGCCGCGCCGTCGCGGTCGCGGATGCATGGTGCATGCAGTTCTTCGATCGTGACACGGTGGGAGGGTGGGAGCAGCTCGGATCTGGGGAGGTAATGATCGCACGGGGGCAACTGGGCAAAGGACGGATCGCCCTCCACGGCTTGGCTGTCATCTGGTTATTCTGGCCGGGTAGGGCAGCTAGGGACGGGAGGGGGCAGAGGGCTACGAACGTTAGCGATTGAACTTATCCATGCGTGAGGGAGAGTATTCACTGTTGTTGCCTGTGGAGCGTGGAGTACTATAACTACTACTCCCTCTGTCCTCTAATACAAGAGATTTTAATATTTTACATGTACTGTTTAATTACTTATCTTATTTAAAAAATTTATGTAAATATAAAAAACAAAAAGTTATGCTTATAGTACTTTAGATAATAAAGTAAGTCACACAAAAAATAAATAATAATTCTAAATTTTTTTTAATAAGATGAATAGTCAAACAGTACAAGTAAAATATCAAAATCCTTTATATTATAGGACGGAAGGAGTAGCAGCCAGCTAACCTCTTCGTCTAAGAAAACTCAATCCTAGCCACCAATTGGATTCTTTTTAGAGAGAATAGTACTGTGGTAGTAGTAAGTTTTTTTTTCTTCTCGTTACAGGCACGTGATGGGTGTGCCACCAAGTGCTGCAGCGCCAGGCCGCCAGCTAGTTGCTGGTTGTCATTTTGTCATCTGATGAATGAACAGCAGTACTAGTTTTGAAGAAGAATTACTGCGAGCTGTCCCACGCGCACGGTGCAACTATTTTTCACTCGGTCTGTAGTATACACTGAGAAAAAGAGAGAGATGAATGCCGTTCAGGGCGGAACCGATCCAAAATGAAAAGTATACAAGTGCTAGCTGGCCGATAGTACAATAATATCTCTGTTAAGAAATGTTTGCGCTGGTGACTGTAGCAGTAATAGAGTATTTGTCGTGTGATGTGCTCGTACGTACTAAAATTCAAAAGGATACACCACCCATATAGGCTGATTATAATTCCCCGTCGTTAAAAAGCTGCAACCTGGAGACTACACCTAATACAACAATTTTCAGTCAACACGTGAGAGATCCTGCGATGAACACCACGACGCACCAAAACAAACCACGGAGGCATCAGCCACCGCTTTGGCAGCCAAGAATCGCATGGAGAGCCAAAGCTACGACTACTACTAGTACCTCGCACAAATCTCAGTACTAAAGAAAATCAAGTGTGTTACGTCGGCATGCAACTTGACGCTGGCACAATCTCTCCGTCGCGGCGTCGCCTCGGCTGATCGGTTTCGCGATCCAACCAACCCGCCCTGCTTTTCGCGTAAAGAAATCGCAGAGACGACGGTGCTATCTGGTCTGGTGGTGCTGGCGTACCGCACGCTCGCTGGTGAAACTGGTGTGCCCGGTGCGAGCAGAGGCAGAGACTGGACAGAGCAGCGCCCAGGCGGGGTACATCTATCTCCAGTTCGGTCGATGCATGTGGGTGCGTAGCTGGACGGCCAGGCCGAACCGCAGAGCACAGAGCAAAAGCGTCAAGCGTCAAGGCAGCTCTGCAAATTGCAACGCAAGATTGAATTATCTTTGTTAAATCCTATATAAACTAGATCTACATAAATATGTGAAACATGATAGGGGAGTCATTTCTTGGTTCTAAAGCATCATAATGAGATTCCAAACCTCCGAAATCTCTACTGCATTTTCTACAAGGGGGAGGTTTAACGCAAAGCTGCAAGCGGCCCGGGCAGCCAGCCCAGAAAGCCGAAAGAATCCTTTCTTTTCCCCTCGCCGCCCAAGCCTCCACATGCGCTCTCGTGCCGGCCTGAACCCTGTCGGACCACGTCCATGCCGCATTATTTAGCCCCCACATGGCCGCCGCTGCGTGCCTCCTCCTCTCGTCTCGCTCGCTGAAGACGTGATACGGGCAAGCGCGCGCCGAGTCGGACAGGGAGCACCTTTGGCTTGTGCGCGCTCCAGCGTGACAGCGTTTCAGTTCAGGGGATCGGACAGAGACGTCGCGTGCATGGGTGGCGGTGTGGTGGGCCGCGGCTTGTGCGAGTACGTGGCGCGGCGACGGTGGCTCTCGCTGCTGCTGTGTCCGTCCTCCTGCTACTAGTACGTTTTTTCACGGGCTGGTGGAGTGATGGACCTGGTCAGCTACTCAGTTTGCATTCATGCATGCACCACCGCCTGCGACAGTGCGAGCGACGTGACGACGTCTCCTTGATTGTCTCTCGTGGGCCTGTGCTATATGTGATCGATCTAATCCCTGCGACACGATAATGCAATGCATATCTCTACGAAATCGAACAGTAGAACATGCACTTCGACCTTTTCTCATCCGAAATAATTAGTGCGGGATACTCATTATATGCGAATTCAATCAGAGGGGGCTGCAATTTGCAAACTGCGTATAATTGTTTCATGTGGATTTAAATAACCTCCTCATTGCTAGTACTCCTATCATGTTGACTTACACGGAAAACGAGCTGTCTTCCCGTCCATTTGCGGCCCTTTGCCGATCATAACCGAGACAAGCGTATCCAGAACAGGTGCTAGCTTAGCTACGCGACGCCCCCGTCTTGAGGCTCCGGGAGATCCGAGCGCACATGTCCGCGAGTTAATACGAGTGCGTGCCGTGCCGCCCGGCCGGCCGGGCGGGCGGAGCGAGCGGCTTCTGCTTTCTGCTTCTGCACCCAGCAATGTGGGCGCTGGCCGGAGCACGGAGCGGGCGAAAGCCCCAGTTCGTTCCCATCCCACATGCCATTGCTAATCATGCACGCACCAATCACGCGCCGGCCGTGGCCGAACCCACGGCGATGCTTCCCGGTTATCACCACCACGGCACCACCTATCTCTGTGCCTGTGCGTGTGTGTGCGTTTGGCATGTTGCGGTGTCAGGGATTGATTCGTTTTCACTCATCATTCACCGCGAATCCTTCTCGTGTCCGCTCGTAGTACCACCGCACCGCTGGCCGTCTCGGTGTCCGAGGCCCCGAGCCCAAGCATGTCCCGGTTCGATGGGTGGTCAAAAAAAGGATATGAGAGGGAGAGAGAAAAAAAATGGGAGGAAAATGTATCGTTTATCCCATCATGCATGCACACTGATCCTGACGCCTCCACGCGCGGCTCTTTTTATACCACCCTCGAGAGCTCATCACTCCCGCACTCACTCACACACACTCAAGCCAGCTCCAGCCACACGAGCCTAGTTCAGGTAGATACAATGGCGTCCACCGCCTCTTTCATGCTCGCCGTCTTGCTGGCGGTGGCCGTCGCGGCGGCGCCGGCGAGGGCGGTGCGATGCCCGCCGAGCGACAAGCAGGCGCTGATGAGAGTGAAGCAGTCGCTGGGAAACCCGGCGACGCTGTCGACGTGGTCCCTGGCGTCGGCGGACTGCTGCGAGTGGGACCACGTCCGGTGCGACGAGGCCGGGCGCGTGAACAACGTCTTCATCGACGGCGCCAACGACGTCCGCGGCCAGATCCCGTCCGCCGTGGCGGGGCTGACGGCGCTCATGTCGCTGTCGCTGTTCCGCCTCCCGGGCCTCTCCGGCCCCATCCCGGCGTGCCTCACCGCGCTCTCCAACCTCCAGTTCCTCACCATCTCCCACACCAACGTCTCCGGCGTCATCCCGGACTCGCTCGCGCGGATCCGCAGCCTCGACTCCGTCGACCTCTCCCACAACAGCCTGACCGGCCCCATCCCGAACTCCTTCTCCGACCTCCCGAACCTCCGGTCGCTTGACCTCCGCAGCAACAAGCTGACGGGTTGCATCCCGGCGGGGCTCGTGCAGGGGCAGTTCAGGTCGCTGATCCTCTCCTACAACCAGCTCACCGGCCCGATCCCGCGCGACGACGCGCAGGACGAGATCAACACCGTCGACCTCTCGCACAACCGCCTCACCGGCGACGCCTCCTTCCTCTTCGCCGCCGGCCGGCCCATCGGCAAGGTGGACCTCTCGTGGAACGACCTCGACTTCGACCTCAGCAAGCTCGTCTTCCCGCCGGAGCTCACCTACCTGGACCTCAGCCACAACCGCATCAGGGGCACCGTGCCACGCTCCCTCGCCGCGCTCTCCACGCTGCAGACGCTGGACCTCAGCTACAACCGCCTCTGCGGCCCGCTCCCGAGGCTGCACGGCGTCATCCGCCACGGCTGCAAGCCGTACGAGCACAACCAGTGCGCCGGCGGCGCCCCGCTCGGCGGGTGCCACCAATCGTGAGCATCCATCCATCCATCACCGCCGGCGAGCTGATGCTGCCACGTAAGGTGGAGCCCGGGGTGCGTAACGGTATACGTGTTTGGTGTTTTTTCGCGTACGGGGACGTGGCCGTGTAGTACACGGTACGACGGGTGCAGCCGTGCAGGGTACTGGGCGGGTTTACGTTAGTACAAATTGTAACCAAGGTAGAGTGCCTGCACGCGTGCGTGGTCGACTCTCCTTCAGATTGTACGAAACGAGGGAGCCGTGTGTACGTGTGCGTACGTGTACCGTGTATGGAGTACGATGATGATGATGATGCAAGTGTGTGTATTGTGAATGTACGTTATGGATCGCCCTAATGTATCATCGAAATGATAAGTGTTTGATATAATTTGCCTTTCGTTCTTGTACTCGTACTTGCGAGCGCTAACTGGGTACACCTCCTTTTTGAACTCAACTCAGTATACCGTGTACTGTGGATCTACTGTAAAGTGGTAGGATACCCCACTTTCTGCATGATGCTGCCTGTCTGGGATAATAAGAACTAGCTGGGTGGCCCGCGCAATTGCGCGGCTAGCATCCATATAAAATTATCTATTTTTAATATGATTTTACTTAAATTTTATTGAATAAATAGTTATCTCATTATTTTAAAACTTTTAAAAATCAAACCATATCATCCTCGTGTTTAATTTTATAGTTTTTAAAAGTTACCCTATTTTTTATTTGCTTGCTCGATCTATCACTATTCCTATTCATTCTCCTTGGAAACTTTAAAATTTTGATCTTATAATTTTTAGAGTTTATTGTCTCTTAGGGTTTCGTTTTTATAATTTTTAGAAATCCCATCAAACACTGCCACTCTACTCCTATATTGCCCATCCGTTGCCTCATTTCTTTATTGTTATTGGGATTTTTAAAATCGAACATAATTATTGTTTGGGTTTATTTTTTACTTTATAGAACTCCCGCCAAACCGTTAGCGGCTTTGCCACTGTACTCTTCTACGGCCCGTCCGCTGCCTCCCCTCTTTATTGTCGTTGAGATTTTAAAATCGAACATTATTATCATTTTTTTTACTTTTTAGAAGTTCCGAATCTTTAAAAATAGGACCTGGTAATTTTTAGAGTTTATTTTCGTTGAGTTTCATTTTTATATTTTTAGAAGTCTCATCAAACACTACCACTATACTCTTCTATAACCCGTCTGCTGCCTCCTCTCTTTATTGTCATTGGGATTCTAAAAATCAAACATAATTATTGTTTGAGTTCATTTTTTTACTTTCTAAAAGTCCCACCAAACAATTATCGGCTTTGCCATTGTACTATTCTATGGCTCGCATGCTCCCTCCTCTCTTTATTTCATTGAGATTTTAAATTGGAACATTATTTTCATTGTTCTTTTTACTTTTTAAAAGTCCCGAACCTTTAAAAATTGGACCTTGTACTTTTTAGAGTTTATTATCTTGTTTCGTTTCATTTTTATAATATTTAGAAGTCTCATCAAATGCTGTCACTGTACTCTTCTATATACCATTGTTTAGTTCTAAAGATATAATTATATTACATATATTTCTGTTATCAATCTTCACCGTTCTAATTTGGTTCTACCACAGTCTAATGGCTTGGAATTTATTCTTCGATTAATGTGATAATTTATATCTTTTAGAATAAATATGGCACATTCTTTTCGAGTTGTCTTAATAATAAAGATTTCTACGTTTTTTTTATGTCTCTGATGATTTTTCTAAAGCTATCTTAATAATATATATATAGATAAATGTACATATTTGGCAAAGAATATTTACATATTTATTATTGGTATTATATTTTTATTCCAAATTTTATTTTTAAGTTTATTTTGGAACCTATATTTTCAAAGGAAAACTTTTTAATTGTATCGCTTAAGGTGTGCACCTGGCTAGCTGCTGTGCACATGCCATCGTTCCTTCTGTTTGTTGACGTGCATCGTCCAATTCTTGCTCATCGTGCAGCCGCGCGGCTCGACCTGCTGCTGTGGATTTCCGTTGCTACTATACATTATAGCCTAACTATTCTAGAACCTAACTTAAGTTTAGAAAATCGGACAAAACTATTTTGAGTCCGTTTGCATGTAAAGATCCTAGTTAGAGATTGATTCTAATTCAGTTAACATGCTAAGTTTGTGTTAAATCTCAGACATTGAAATCTATGCCTCTTACAATCCAACGGTGTAAATAATTTATATTTTCTTCGATTAACGTGAGAATTTCTAGCCTCCACGGTAAACGTGATGTCTTCTTTTCGAGCTGTCTTAATAATATAATAGATCTAGCCTATCTGCGTACATGGGCCAGGAAATTGGGCTAACTTAATGAGGCCGGGTTAGAGGCTAGCTTAAAGCAGGATGCTTTGATAAGTGTTACGTTTACATACTTGGAAGTGCCTGTCTTCCAGTCTCCAGCCCAACACCGAGTCCCATTAATTTTGCTCAATCGATCGTTAACGAGAAAGAGGGTACACGGTGCTGGGACACTGGGAATGTCTGGCGCACGGCTGTGAACTGCAGTCTCCCCTCTCTCTGATGGGCATTGTTGCTCCAGGAAGGGAACAAAAAACACTAGTAAGAAGCACAATTATGGGTTACAAGTTACAACGAGGATGAAGCACTGCACTTATTAATTTCAGATGACCCGAACGCATCAAATTGTTCCGAGATGTACGTATCCGTGTGACCGTGTACGAGTGTTACCGGCCGTGATCCTGTGACCGAAAGGATTTTGCCGGCGCGCGCACCGCCTGGCGGTACATTGGAGGTACGACTGTACGAGGCGGATGACACGCGCATCACGTTCATGTGTAGCAGTAGCATCGTGTAGGGACCCGTCGAGTAAATAAAAACCAAACCACACGTGAAGTCGTGAAGCTCTTTCATCCGGCATTTTGCAACTCTCGTCCCCTCCAACGCGTGCACCAATAGTACCTGTCACGGAAAGCCGAACCCTCATGCTCACTGCTCAGTGGTGCGATCTTATACTCTGTTTTCCCCTTCCATTACGCATCTGATCGTCCTCCATTTCGAAAAGTCTACCTTCCAGAGGTTCCAACATTGGCTCGAAACTTTATTTTTTTTTGGTTTGGCGTCGAGATCTGTAGCGAATGACACTATTGACAGTTGAAATCGATGGAAGGATCGGCTAAAGAGGGCAACAAAGTACTGCTTCGTAGCCTTGTTCATTTCTCACACTAAAAGCCACCCATGAGGCAAGAGGCCACAAAAAGAGATCAAGCGTTAGCCACGGCCTGCCTCCCCATCTTGCCCAGCCCGCTTTCTGTCGAGCGTAGCAGCAAGCCAGCCCACCTAAGCTTATCGCCTTCACCTCCCAGCCCACTAACAGAAAAGCAAGCCATCCGGGCTGATCACCCACAAGCCACAGGCCCACAAGTCCACCGCTTGTCTTTGTATCGGCTGCCACTCCCATTTTGGAATTTGGAGTAGTTTGCATTTTTGCCCGCTCGATGACCAAGTAATGAAAGTACTCCATTCGAAAAAAAAAAAACTCACTAAGGTTATGTTTTTTTAGACGGAGTGGCAGACAAGTGGAGAGAAACACTGTCATAGTGCTTACACATCGAAAGCCATTTAATAATTTCACTAAATTCATAAAAAATCATACTAAATTTTATTTTATTTTATTTTGGATAAATAATTAATCTGCCTGAAATTCACAGATTTCGTGGTTATCGATCAAAAGGCGATATATGGCCCCGAACCATAGAGAGCAGGTCCTACCTGGAAAACTTGAGAGTTGGGAACACATGTCTATTCACGCGTTAGCAACGGGAGATGTTTCCATTGGGGCGTTTGTTTTTTTTTTCCGGGGAAAAAGGGAAATTTCATTAATCAATCAAAGAATCCTCACACACAAGGTGTGTTATGAGGTTACAAGTGTTGTCTGGCCAAAACTCAGATCGAGACACAGTCCGACCCCTATTAGCTAGGAAGTGACTAACAGTATTCTGGCATTGCAACACTTTCTTAATAGTTATTTCCCTGTTTCCTGAGATCAACTCATATCTCCCGAATCAGGTGAGCCAGTTCTGATCTCACATTATTTGTTGACTGAATGAGGTTTACAGCTTCCATTGGGGCGTTTGTTTGACCACGACGGCAATGCGACGGACACGGCAAGCACAGTCAGACTGAAGCAAGAATAGACAACCCTTTTCCTTTCCCTTTATTAACGTGTTTCTGGACCGTATACTCCCTTTCTTTAGCTTGCTTCTGGATCACACAGTCTGACAATTCTGGCCGTCAAGACTCGAAGAGTATCACTTTAGACATGAGACTTCTTCTGTTCTTTAGGGACGAAAAATTAAAAAAGAAGAGGAGGAGGAGGAGAGAAACTGCACCAACTTCCAGAGGAACGCGAACATCGCCGGTGTTTGATTAAAGCAATCACCTTTGGCTAGTCGTCGTATATATGTGAGTACTACTAGTATATGTCGTGGTCGCGAGGCTGTCCAAATCGCCACCATCCATGGCTGACCACGTCCACAGTGTTCTCGTCCACCATGGCATGGACTTGTTTTCAGCACGCCTGCAGGCGGCGGCGGCGGCGGCTGCAGCAGCACCACCACTCGCTCAGCTCCACCCGGCTCGGTCGCCCTTCTCATGCCTCGCGTGACAGGTGGACTGGCCGAGCATATTCGCGCGAATATAATAGACGGATTTGGTATTGTACCGTCGAGAATAAAACCCTGTTTTAGATCCACCCTAAAATTTTCCACCCTGTCACAGAACATCTGCATTAAATATTAAATATTGGCTAAAAATAACTAATTACACAAATTGTGACTAATTTGCGAGACGAATCTTTTAAGCCTAATTGCTCTATAATTTGACAATGTGGTGTTGCAGTAAATATTTGCTAATGATAGATTAATTAGGCTTAATAAATTCGTCTCGCGGTTTATTGATGAATTCTGTAATTTATTTTGTTATTAGACAATGTATGTCCGTATATCCGATGTGACACAGTAAAAATTTTCAACCTTGGATCTAAACACAACCTAAGTGCAAGTTTAATAGTATAGCTCGCTACTAGCTTCAAATTATCTATAGACAAATTAATGGCCAATTTATATGATAGTTACCTATAAACATATACTACACTATTAACTAGCATAGTGGCCGCGTAGATTGCGCAGCTAATATAATTATATTTTATCTCATATAATAGCATATATGTTTTCTGAATTTATTATTAAAATATATTAAAATTATAACATAATTTAAAATTTTGTACTAACTTTACGAAACTATTAATGTGTAATGTTTATATTGTATTTTATATACGTGTTAGTTATTAATTATTTTTAATATAAAATTTTATTTATTTCTAAATTATATTCCTATATGGACTCTAGAC